GGGGGGGGGGGTTTCCTGTGTGTTTGTGGCATTTCCAGAGTTTATCGTAGTCGGGCATAGCAGTCCCATTCCTTCTTTTCCTGCACTTGTGGCACTTTCGAGACTGTTAACTGAAAGGAAGAAGTTGGCAGCATGAGCTTTCGTAGACTTCAGTCTACTTCCTCAGATGCATTTAGTGCCAATTGAGTGCAGAATTTACCTGCAAAAGATAGCCCTCCGCTTAGGGGTTGCAGACTGCCAGAAATAGTGCAAATTGAGTCCACTTTTAGGGTTAGGGTTAGGCTAAAGGAATCATGGGGACTGTATTTTATTGTGGCACCAGAGCTCTCTGACAGAGAAGGCTCAATGTCTCAGAAAAAAAATACAATTCCCATGATTCCCTAGCACTAACCCTAACCCTAAAAGGGGACTCAATTTGCACTATTTCTGGCAGTCTGTAAGAATTCAAAGATATAGCCGTGTTAGTCTGTAGGATCAGTATTTTAGAGAGATCTTGTAGCACCTTTGAAACTAAATGAAAGAAAGAAATTGGCACCATGAGCTTTCGTAGACTTCAGTCTACTTCCTCAGATGCATATATGAAGTCTACGAAAGCTCATGGTGCCAATTTCTTTCTTTCAGACTGCCAGAAATAATGCAACTTGAGTCCACTTTAACTGCCCTGGCTCAGTGCTAGGGAATAATAGGAACTGTAGTTTTTTCTACTGTAGTTTTCTGAGACATTGAGCCTTCTCTGCCAGAGAGCTCTGGTGCCAAAATAATCTTCAGTTCCCATGATTCCCTAGCGTGGAGCCAGGGCACTTAAAGTGGACTCAAGCTGCATTATTTCTGGCAGTCTGTAAAGGCCTCTAGTCTCAAAGGTGCTACAAGATCTCTCCACATTTAACTAAGGACAGAAACATCAAAATGCAGGCATCTGACTAACATCTCCAATTGTTTTTTTCTCCTGTTTGGTTTGTAACATCTTGCCTGATGAAGAAGCCAGTGGAGCTTTGAAAGCTTGCAACAAGTTTATTGTCCATTTCAGTTGGCCAATAACGGTATCAGTGTTTGGTGGGTTTTTGTTTGAATTTGTTCTTTCTCTCTGTGAGTCTCAAAGGTGCCACAAGATCTTTCTACATACTGATTCTCTAGATTAACACAGCTATATCTTTTAAATTCCTTTTCCTGTAGTTCATTTCCTAAATTCAAGAGTAGTAGCGCTATTAGGTTAAAAGTTTATTTATATATATTATCAGTCCATGACAATACTGTGGTCCTGAAATACTATGAACTAGACTACATTGTATCTTCATTTAGTAAAAGGTACGGTAGAGTTTCATAATTTTGTCCAGCTTCACAGTTAGGAGCAAATTCAAGAGTTATAGAAATCTGGGGGGACCTGCACTAGATAACAGTATCTCTCCTTCCTAATGAATAAGTTGTGTCTTCTAGAGAATAAACAG